AACATTTTACTAGTTAACCACTTTTTTGATATCTTTCAAAAGAAGTGAGATATATAGGCTCAAAGTGGACGATTCGGGTGTCGTTCTATTAGAGGTTTTACGGTAATTTTACCAAAAAAAAATTTTTTCTGAAACTTTTGGGAATAAACCGTATGCACTGAAAGTGCGGAACCAAAAAAAAATGTTTCTGGAGAATTCAAAACACGAATTTTCTAATTTGTTGAATTTATCATAACTCCAGATTTTAAAAAATTGATGCTTAATTTTCATAGTTTTGATTTAATTCTACCAATTGTCGAATCGATATCAAGAGTTTCCAAAAAATTTAGAAACAGTAAAACTAATTTAGAAACAGTAAAACTTTTTTAGATTTTAAAAGTTTTGAAATTTTCGAAATGCAAAAATTATTTTGCGTTATTGCGTTCAGAAACTTTTAATACGTTTCGGGAAAGTTTGAAACTTGAAGAAAGTATATTTCTTGGAAAATAAGTATCCTCAATTTTTCTGAAATTCAATATTTTTTCTATTTCAGTTAAAAACAAACCTAATCCTTGTCTTCTTCTTGTCCCAAACTACAAATAAGAAGAAAAAGTGCAAGTTTCTTCTTCTTCTTTTTTTGTTGACACAACCAAAAAAAAAAGCAGAAAAAAGAGACGGATGAATGACTAATTTTTGTCTCCCTCCAGTTGAAAAACACAATATAGGAGTGTAGGGAAATTTTTGCTTACAAACTATCGCCGAAATCAGAAAATTGAGAAATCAGAAATTTGAAGCATAAAACTTTTTAGAAACTTTCATTTTTGAACCATCAACGTTATATTATTTAAGAAAATTCAAAATTTCTGAAACAAATTTATTGAAACCGAAAGAATCTTGTTTGACAGTTTCAAAATCTCCATAAATAATTTTTGACAAAAAGGATCTTTAATCAATGAAAATTAGTAAGATAATCATTATTCAAAGCTACGCGGTCGTTAAATTGACTCTTAACGGTTTCCCACAGAAGATTTCCGAACTGCAAGTTAATTTTTGATCTACAGAAAAAAAATTTGGCGCTATCAGAATTGCAGGTCTAAAACCATAATTTCAGAATTTTTCATCTGATTTTGTGGAGATTTGAGATAATTCAAATGATTCTTAAAAAATTGATTAGTGGTTATAGAATCCTGTATGGTCCTTTTCCGGAAGAAAACATTTCAAAAGTTGTCATTTTTGAAAGTTTTTACAGAAAAAATGTATCTCCTCTTTCAGTTTTTGACATTTCAAATAGTTCTATAGGTTTTAGACCTGCAATTGTGACCGCGCCAAATTTTTTTTTCTTTAGATCAAAAATTAATTTGTAGTTCGGAAACGTTCTGTGGGAGACCGTGCTCTTTCGATAGATTTCAAAAATTTTGGTAGTTGTTCGTTTTAATAAATTTTCACTGTTTCAAGATTTCCATAATAAAGGGTTTTTTTTTGACTAAAAATTCGTTGAACGAAAAAGTCTCTAGGCTATCAATATTCAAAATAAAACAAGCCACTAAACTATTCACAATTCTCCAATTAATGAACCAATCATTCAGGCCCAATATCCTTCTCATCTTCTTCATAACCATTATTCCAAAATCAACATTTCAACAACAAATTTGTACGGACCAAGACTACGAATTCACATATACCAATTGCGATGAACATGGAGAGCGATGGAGGGTTGCAGTACCACGTGACGGGGTTCAATGTGCAAATTTACCGACGCCAAAGAGAGGATTGAATTGCTGTAAGTTAAAAAAAGCAATAAAATTTGAATTGTGGTCGGCCGCAGCCGGCCTCAAGGTTTGGCAAACTTAACGTTAAGCTCAACTTTAAACTTGAAATAAGTATAAAATCCACTTGAATTTAGAATCAACTCGAATAAAATCAACTCGAATTTCAACCTCAACCTCAAAAAAAGCTTAACCGGTCTCTAATTCCGATAACCTGCTCTTTAACCACAAAACTTCTGAAATTTCAGCATTCTCCTGTGAACCGGGTCATTACCTCGACTTGGACAGTCAACACTGTCGTCCGTGCAACCCTGGATACTTCAGTTTGGGTGGTGGAATTCGTTACGAGGAGTTTGTGACACTTCCAAGTGGATTCTCAGTAGATAACATGGATTCTACACAAGATACTCAGTATTCGAGTCAACAAAGTCGAATGGTTGAGTGCCCTAAAGAGTTAGTCATCCGATTTTTGACTTTAGAAACACACAGGTGGATCGCGAGGAACGTTATATGGGATCGCGCGGTGTTGTATATGCTCCTCCTTTAAGTTTCAAAACACTAGAGAAAAATTTCAAAACGTTCCAAAACATCTAGGAAATCTCGACAATTCCAGAAAGTTCTGGAAAGTTCAAGGAAGATTTCAGAACATAAAAAAAGAGTCGAGAAAACTCCTGAAAATTTCCAACAATTCTAATAAGTTCCAGAACATTCTAGAACAATCCGGAAAATTCCAGAAAATTCCAGAAGTTTCCAGAAATTTCCAGAAATTTCCAAAAAGTTCCAAAACATTCCAAAAAACTTCAAGATATTTTAGAACGTTCCAGAACATTCTAGAAAATGTCAAGAAAACTCCAAGAACGTTTTCAATATTTACTTTTATCTACAAGAATACAGGTCTTGCAACCTCTTCCCTATACTTTCAGTGTAATCTAGAACCGAAGGCTTAGATAAAATGATGTATAAAGTTTCCGAAATTCAGAAAACCCAAAGATTTGAAAAACTCGGAAAATGCAGATATTCAAAAATTGGTGAATTTGGTTCGAAAGTCGAGACTTTAAAAATTCAGAAAATTGTACTCTGCTATTAAGAAACAGGCATTCTGTCATGAAGAAACTCGGAAACTCAAAAATCCTGAAAATCGGATGTTTGAATTCAGTTATCGCGTTTTTACTAAGAACCGACAAGACTTAATGGAAATTACCAGAAAATTAGGAAAAAATACGTCTGCAATAATCAAAAAAAACAAGCGGCTTAGTGGGATTCTATCAGAGGTAGGCATCAAATAGATGTGGCTTTCTTTTAGGAAAATCTAAAATTTTAAACTTTAAATACTTCGGAGTCACTCAAAAAGTGAGAAATTCAAAAATTATCAATTCAAGTGTATGATACAATAAACGGCAGCCAGGAGGTTGAGCCTCCGGCAGGGGCTCAAACCGACTGGTATGGATCCTATATGCGAGCACGGACGGGGCATATGCTTTCCCCGCTAACTGACCAACCCATATAGCGGGCATAACGAACGCTATATGCGCACATTCACAGTATGGGCCACAATGCGCCCATATAGTGTTCTGCGCGATTCACCTGTGACAGTGTATCTGTAGAGAAGTCATCAAGATAAGAAAAATTTGAAGTAGTATTTTTTAAGGGTAGAACATTTAGGAAATTGTGAAACTTCGTCTCTGCAAATTATCAATTCTTAAATACACCTAAATTAATTATCTTCTAATTGAAACAGAAATGATTATTTTTTATTTTTTCAGAGCCGGTTGGGTGGTCAAGGACGGAGAATTGATCTATATTCCGACTCCATGTGTTTCTAGATTGTCATTTTCAGCAAATTTGGTCCGACCCGGATCTGTGGAGTTTACTTATCGGTGGGTTATGGAATCTAGTGGAAATTTTAAAGTTTTTGAAGTTTCTAGTTTACATCAATTACCAAAAAACGGGACCTGGAAAAATTGGGAAAGTTTTGAAACTGGAGTATTCAGTGAAATTCTAAAATTATGTCATGAAGAACTTGTTCAAACCAAAAAAACAAGCCTATCAAATTTTTCTAGAATTTGAGATTCTAAAAAAAGCTAGTATTTGCGATCTATCAAAAGATATAATGAAAGGAATAGTTGAAAAGCTAGTATCATAAAATGTAAAAAGGAAAAAAAAATAAGAAATTATGAAACTGGAATTTTTAGTAAAAGTTAGCGTCCAGGTCATTAATTTTCAACCCAATCTATCTTGGTATTTCTGAAAAAATATCAGAATATAGTTAACTGATAAGTGTTTATCATATCACCAGCAACATTTTATCAGTAGACAACTTTTTGATATCTTCAAAAGGAACCAAGACAGTTGAGCATAAATTTTACCTGTGACATTCAAAGGAAAGACCTCCCCCCTCTTACAATAAGGTTGTAGATCTAGAAAAAATTCCAAACCCACAGTAACCCTCTATGGTAAAATTCCAGAATGCCCCGAAACAATCGTGCTCTCTCCATGCAAGTGGACATCCGAAACGAGCAATGTCAATCCTACAACGATATAGCAAGGTCCATGTTCCAAAAATACGCCAAAAAAGAGAAGGATGAGGAGGAGAGAAATGGTGACTGGCGGAAAAGACGAATTGAATTGAAATCTGGACCAAATGTGATCTCATGGATCATCCAGAACAATCTAGGATACCAAGCATCCAATCAACCGATTCATATCGATCGGATTGATGTTCTAGGATTGGCATTTACAAGACAATGCACCGCCTGTCCACCTGGCACCAGTTCCATCGGCGCCTCTGCTGAATGTATTCCTTGTAATCCCGGATATTTCTCATCGAAAGGATCCGCACAATGTGGGCGGTGCCCGGAATCTCAATATTCCGGATTCAAGTCCGAGAAATGCATTGACAGACCTCCTTGCCGTGTATCAGACTACTATCCTGTCCGTGAGCCATGTACTAATGGATCCAGTAGAGCGGTTTATAAAAAAGTGTTGCCTTCGATATGTCGGGATGATTTGGATTCGGCCACTAAGCTTCCGCCACCGACGCCTTGGAAACCGTGTCCGAAGTGTAATCCTGGAATGGAGAAGAATAAATTGGGAGTGTGCGAGTTTTGTAAGAAAGACTACTTTTCCGATGGAAATTGTGAGTTTTTGCGGTTTTTTTTTAAACCTTCAAAGGAAGAAATACAGTAAGACTTGTATTTCTGTATTGATAAATCTTTCATTAGCTCTAATTTTTAACTACAGTATACCCATCGCATTCAAATTTCCTTTTTTTCAGCTTGCGCCCGTTGTCCAGTGGATACCGTACCCAACTACGGTCTACAGTACCAGAATTGGGAAGTGATGCCACCAAAATTGACGACAAGATGTGAATATATTTCTGAAGGTGAGAATTTTTTCAAATTCAAATATCGGAAGTTTTTGAAGTTTGAACATAATTTCTGTTTTGACAACACTGTTTTACAATATCACGGAAACACTACTTTTGCTCGTTTCAGTCTTTTATCTCGATTCCTGTAAAAGATATCGAAAAGTAATCAACTGATAAAATGTTATTGATAATATGATAAGCATTTTGTCATTTGACTACTTTTTGATATCTCTTACAAAAAGCTAGATAAATCGGGTCAAAATATAAGGCCTTTCTTTACAGTAACCCGCGATTTTTAAAATTAACATTGAACGTAAATTTAACCACAACCTCAAGTTTAAGGTTTCCATTTGACGTTAGACTTGAGCTTAAGCTTAAGCTCAGATTCAAGCTTAAGCTTGAGATCAGCTTAATGCTTAAAGCTCAACTCAGGCGTCAAACTTAACCCTAAGCTTGAGCTTAAGCTCAACTTTAATCGTGGACCTTAACTTCAAACGTTAAGCCTAACTTTGAGCTTGAGTTTAAGCTCAAGCTTAACTTTAACCTTCAAGCTAAATTCAAGCTTGAGCTTCCAGATGTCTCCACAACCTGCAACATTGGCGATGCATGGCTTCCATCAGGCGATTCCCTAATCTCCGCCCCCTCCCTAGAGCTCGGAATTGCTTTTGAACTAATTCTCTCTATCGATGAAGGCTTCTGGAACCCTCTCGCCCCGAAACCCTCCAAAACCATGAAAGTCCCCGTTGCTCAAATTACTGTAGTCTTCGAAACCTCGTGTGCCGATGAGTCCTGCGCTCTCTACTTCATCGAAGACATGTCCGCTGGCACTAAGGGAGCTCGTGAATCATTTTATCACTTTTTGGCGGCTTTTAATGGAACTAACAGTAAACGAGTGTGGAGTCATACTGTTACCAAAAACACGCCAGCTAGATTTATGCTGGCATTTTTGAGATCTGGAGTTTCAAGTGGGGAGGATCGGATAACTGATGAGGCGAGAGTATACGCGATCAATGTGACAAATGTGGGACATCGAGGCGGACAAGGGGGCGGAGCCTCACAGTGTTTGACATGTCCACATACTGCTGGAGGAGAGACTTGTGTTCCGTGTCCTGCTGGAAATTATATGCATCAAGTCACCAAGTTATGTGTATCCTGTCCGGTGAACACTATTGTCAACGCGTCGAGTAGCAGAGTTGGAGTGGAAAGTTGTATTCCTTGTGGTCAGGGATTGACATCGAATGATGGTGTTAGTTGTACGTCGCAGGGAAAGATTCAATTGAAAGGGATGAGCAATGAGTCATTTACCTACGATTTCTCGCCGTTTGTTGGGAGGTAAGTGTTGTAAACGGATTAAATGTAAATGGTAAACTGATAAAATGTTACTGATATTATGATTAAAATTTTATTAATTGACTACTTTTTGGTGTCTCTTACATGAAGCTATAAAAAAGGCCAGAAATCGACCCTTTGAGATAATTTTCTTGAAAATTTACTGTTTCATAATATTCAAAAAATTTTATTCTGAACATTATTATTATTCCTACTGAGATACGCTCTATTTAATATTAGGTGTCTTAAAATTTTTAGCCGAGTTTTTGGTGGTAGTCTAGGCTATCAACATTTGAGCCATTTTTACAGGATTAATACTGAAAACCTTACAAGATTCACTAAAAGTATTATGAAACTTTCAAAACGGTTGCAAAATACCAGCGGCCGATTGTTTTCTAGACCACGACTGATATTTTGGCCTTCTTAAAGGTGGTGTGCGGTGAAAAATTGTATTGGTTTATTTTGTGCAGAAATCCAAGTAGATCCCCATAAAAATAAAGAAAAAATTCAAAAAAAATTCCTTCATTGAGAAAAACGGCGTCGAAAAGTCACAGTGGGAACCGGTGGCCTAGCGGCCAGGTGTGAGTTTTCTAGGCCAACTGCCGGTAAAAGCGCGCGAAATTCGAATTTTTATTGATTATCAGTGTTTTCTCTAATGTCTTTTAAAGATTTCAAAATGTTT